CTTTCTGAGACACCTTGACAGAAGGATCAGTTTGAGGCGTATCTCCTTGGCTTGTAAATGGCCATCTTCTACTTGTGTCTTCACATTTTGTTCCTTCTGTATGTGTCTGAATCCACATTTCCTCCTCTTATAAGAAGATCAGTCATATTGGATTAGGTTCCACCCTAATGGCCTCATTTTAACTTAATGACTTCTGTAAATACCCAGTCTCCAAATATGGTCACATTCGGAGGTAATGAGGCTTAAGATTTAAGATATAATTATTTAAAGCGCACAATTCAGCCATTAATACCATTCTTTTACTTCTAATGTTTTTGAATGCTTACATTTTAGGTGCATTTTTTTGTACCATATAGTTGCACCTATTTGTTTTATTTTTAAAATAAGTGCCGACCACCTTTGATTTGGGCTAAAAAATTAACTTATTTGTGTTTTAATATAGTTACTAATATATTTGAGTTTAATTCTTCCATCTTAATTTGTTTTCTATTTGCCTGGTCTCTGCTTTTTATCTCTCTCATTTTCTCTTTTCTTTTGGATTATTTTTAATCATCTCATTTTTTCCTTGTAGTGGGAAATTAAACATTTTCTTCTTATTCTTTTAGTAGCTCTCATAGAATTAAAACACATATTCGTAATATATCAAAGTCTAAAATTAATAAAAACCTTTACCTTCACATAATACAATGAATTCGAAATTTGTAATCACAATTTAACTTTTCCCAATTATTTGCTTTTGTTGTCAAGTATTCTAATTCTTGATTTTTAATTAATTTTTACTTTTAATCCCTACCACAGTCAAACACTGTTGGTGGGTTTCTAAATTGGTTCATCCAAGTTTGAAGAGTTTACTTTCATCTAGGAAAGCTGAGGATTCATATTGTATGATCCAATTCCATCCGTAAGATGGCACTCCGGGGAAACCAAGACATATGTGCAAGAATTTTTATAGCAAGATTGTAATAGCTAGCAACCAGAAAAAAATGAAATTTCCATCAATAATACAATAGTTGTGTGTTTGTTTTCTTCTGTTTTTGAATGATATGAGTTTTTCCTGGGCCAAAAGCTCTGTGTAGGATATGTGCCAGGAATTATTTTTAGTGAGCAATATCTTATGTTAATTATTTTAACTCTTACTTATATTCAAGCCAATAGAAGTAAGCAAATGTATGGCTATTCATAATATAATGTCTCTCTTTCCCTTACAGATTTACCTACAGACTATGTATTGCATATATAGCTTGTTTAAACCATTCTTGATTCTGTTCTAATTATCTACTTGTCAGGTCCACTACTGGCCCAGGGATGTTCCCACTATATGGTCCATGAGTTCTGTTCCTGTGTTGCAAAGGTGTGGTTTTGAGTTGGTACTTAGGGTGTGCCCCTTACCTTCTAGAAATCTTGTTTTCTGGAACCTCCTAAATTGTGGAGACATGTAGCTCTTTTTTCTTCACATTCCTGCTATATCCTAGTTTATTTGAAGATGTAATTTTCAATTGTTATATATTGTATAAAGTGAGAACACTCATGTTGATTTTGGGTGGAAAGAAGGCGGAAATGCTGAAAGTCGTCTTATTAGCTCTTTTCATTGGAATGTTTGTACTATAGTCTTTCAGGCACCTCCAAAAGGCCTTATATTTATTCTTAGAAGAATATACTATCTTCAGTTTTCAGATTGTCTTCAACTTCTTCTGAAGTTTTACAAACATATCTCTTTAAAGGACTGGAAATGAAAAGATGAGTCACAGTTCTTGTTATCCTCACAGGAAAGGGTACAAATTCTTTTTTAAAAGAGCTATCTGCCCTCTCTTTCTTGCTACCAATTATTTATTGAGCATATACGTTTGACCAGACACTAAGTAGCTCATTCCTGATTGAACACTGGAGCAGAAGTGGAAGTCATTGCCCGCCAGCATGAACCACATTTTCTTCCAGATAAGAGTCTTTTTTCCCACCATGAAATTTGACCCTCAAAATAATGGTTTTTGATTACTTATAAGGACTCCAGAGCAGCTGGCAAAGGTAAGGAAGGAGACTGTCCTACTATTACACACAGAGGACTGGTGATTGTGGGGAGTGAAAATGGTAAAAGCAGTAAGTTTCCATGGAGCTCCCCATTCTCCTCCCCACCCTGGTTTTGGTAACCACCATTCTACTCAATGTTTCTATGAGTTTAACTTTTTTAGGTTCCACATATAAGTGAGATCATGCAGCATTTATCTATGTCTGGCTTATTTCACGAAACATAATATCCTCCAGGGTCATCCACGTTATTGCAAATACATACGTATATCAAATCATAATGTTGTACACCTTTAATATGTACAATTTTTATTTGTCAATCATACTTCAGTAAAGCTGGAAAAACATGTAAAAAAATCCCCTTATGACCTTATTTTAGTTACAACTTTTCCACATCTTTGGGTGGCATGTGATTTCTTGAGTCTTGCTGCTATTAGTTGACTTGGTTTGATATTAAACCGTTCAATGTTTTCCTTAATTCTCTGACAGAATCTTAGGAATTTTCCTCCATTCATTCAATATGCATGGTATTTTTCATGGTGCTGTCACTGGTCTTCTCTTCTTTTTTTCTTCTCCATTTCCCTCTTCTTCTGTCATCTCCTTACTTCCATTTTCTCATCTCGTCTATTTTGTTTTCTCTTTTCGTGCTAGTTGCTTCCCTAGGCATTCTCATTTACTCCTGAAGATTTATACACTTATTATAGAATGATGATATGACTCTTACAGCAATTTCTCATCTGAATATCAGGCCTATATTTTTAATGTTACACATTTCCACCTGAAAGATGCATAGTTTCCTAAAACTCAAGATGTTGAAAGCGGACCTAATTTTGTTCCTCTCTGAATCTCAAAAACAAAGAAACGTAAAAACAAACATTCTCCTTACTGTATTTCCTTTCTTGGTTAATGTTAATGCCCTTTTACTTTATTCAGGAACTCAAGAATTATCATTCCAATGCATTCATTTATTCATTAAATATAATCAATTATAGCTCTTACATATTCCTTTCATGTGTCACCTTCTCTTCACCCAATTGTTGGCTAGTTGTACTATCTCAAAGGTAAATTCCAATGATCATTTCCTTTCAGGCTGCCTCTTCCTGTTAATCTTTTTCATTGTCTAAAGACATATTTCTAAATCCAAAACAGCTTGTCCACTCCATTGTTAGAACCATCCACTGCATTTAACCTCCTCTTTGTCTCTTCCCATAAAACTTTCAGATCTTTGTGAGTAGTAATATGGCTTACTTACATTTTAATCCTAAAATTCAGAAAAGTGTCTGGAAGATAGTGTATATTGGATATAAGATGGCTGACTAATAACTTCAGTGAAAACTAAATAAATAGGTATTTTTCAAAGGAGTGTATGGGGTTGAGAAGTTATGGGCAAAACTACAAAATAACAACCTCTTCCACAGAGGACCCAGAAGGAGAGATCAAAGTGAAAGATGAAGATATAGAAGCAAAGGAAAGGAATAGATGAACCACAAATGGCTAGCACCACTAGAGGAGAAAGAGTAGCACCTGGGATCCTCAAGTCTTGAATGCCCTCTCTCATCAGGAAGTGTGTAGACTGAAGAACCCCTATGGAGTTCTGGCTGTTGTTAATGGCTGCTTCCAACATGAGGAAGTGAATCCACACTACTTGATTCAGTCTATTCTTAGCGTTGTCAATAAATTTAGCAGAGGGTATAAAATATAGCAGCATATGAATAACATAAAAGGTTAACACTGGAAGCACCTAATGAAAATAGGAAATTTTTCTCTATTTTAGACAGTCTTAGTTACCATACTATCTCATATGAAATTTAGAACAGTGCCTGGCAGATAGTATATTCTAAACAAATCCTCCTTTAATGAAAAAAAGAAAATGTTTCCAAGCACAAACATAAAGATTATTTTGTCTAATACATGTGTTCTTAATATGCTTGGTCCCACTGATATCAGCTAGTTTTGAATGACCTACAAACTATTTAAACTCTTTCTACATAGTTGACTATCACCCTCTGCAACCATGACATATTGTTTCCAACACGTGTTTGAATACTTAAGTTATAGAATGTGCAATAATTCTCTGGACCCAAGTCATCTCATCTGAAAATGGTGAGTGAACCTGATATTTTAATGGCAATTTTTGTGCTAAAGATTTATGATCAGAGAGTATCATCTTTTGTGTTATTGTCTCCATTTCCCAGCCCAATCATTTTCTTTCTACATAACTTGTGCATTAGTACTCCAAAGTGTGTATTCCTCCTAATTGCCACATTTTACAGGACTAGGTTTATGCCTTGGTACTTATTCTGTGTGACTGTTATTTAGCATAAGAATCCCTTCCTAGAACGTGGGCCAGCACTTGATCTTCTCAGTAACCCCTCCCTAGGGATTGTAATCTTCTTTATGAAACCCACTTCTGGGTCTGCACCATTTATATAGACTGACTCTGTGGCCATTTTGGCTGGGACAGTGCTGGTTTATACCTGTTGTTCTGATATAGTTAAAATAGTGCTCCTTTTACTTTCCCAAAGTGTCTAGTTTGGACAAAAAAGTATACGCTTACCTTACTTTTACAATTATGGACATGTCTCTCCCATAATGAAAGTTGTGCTCAGTATGCTGATTTCTTAATCCCTTTAGGAGCCAAATACCTATATGACAGAATTCCCCAAGACATGCTCTTAGCACTAGGTCCTGTTGATAAGGTTCTGTCCATCTCTCTCCCTGACCTAGTGGGTAGATATAATGATAAATGTGGCTGTAATCCAATTCTTTCAGATCTACCTGCCTACAAATAAATGGCCATGCCTCACCAAGGCATCCAAAGATATAAAGTAAGGACAAAGCAAAATGTGACCTCATCAGGTAGTTTGGCTAATGGCAAAAGAATGGTCTCTTTCTTATTTTACCGCTTTGTAATCCTAGTGAAGCTGTTGATATTAGGTTTATGAATCCATAAGATTGATTCCAGGGTCCTGTCTGACCTGCCAGATAGCCATCTAAACTGCAGACCCTATAATCATCCACCACCTTACCTGGAGATAAGAGAGTCAAAAAGAGGAGAACAGAAAGAAGCACATGGAGTTTCATGGCTGAACGGCTAGTGAAGAGAAGAGGCATCAACATGGTTGGAGCCTGGAGCATCTGAGCATGGCAGGTCCATGGCTTTTTATGATGCTCCCTGGCCCAGTGGTTTGTTCTTGGTTAGTAGAGCCTAACAAAAAGAGAATAACTCAGTCTCCAACAGGAAATCTCCAGGGACAAAAGTACACAACGTGGTGATAATTCAATGGATGAGAAAGCAGAACTTAATGCTATCAATTTCCCACAGATTCAGGATGTCCTCATTGTCAGTTGTGCTTTTTACTACTTTCCATATGCACTTGTGTGTATGACCAAACTTTATGCACCTATTGTGTGTCAAGCCGTGTAGTAAAAACTAAGGGTACATCAAATAGATTGCAGTCAGATAATGGGAGATGAATTGTTAAGTGGGTGCATGCAATAATATATGTAAAGGACGCAATAACTCAAAACTCAAAAGAGATGTTGGTTATTTCAGTAGTTATTGCTACCAAGGGCTAGGAGTGGGGAGGGGATAATGAGAATGTCAGGAAAGGCTTCATAAAAAAGATGATATAGAATATGCTTCAAAAGATTTTGGAATTTTATCTTTAAAGTGATACTGTTATGTTGAAAGCATATTTCAGCCTCTTTTTAGATTTTGCAAACTTTTAAATAGATTTTTATTATTTTTATAAATGTTTGTATTTAGTTTAAATCTGGCATTATAGAAAATGTAGAAAACACAGAAATGTAAAAAAATTTAAATTACTTGAAATTCAGTCATAGCTAAAGATTTTGGAAAACTTTTCTTAGTATAAGTATCCTTTGCTATCTTGGCAGAATGGTCACTATAGTAACTGTACTTTGTTTTAACCTAAATTGCACCATCTGGATAAAAATCAGCTTTATTGATTCTTAGCTTCTATGATGGTCCCCAATGATCGCTGCCTCCTTGTGTTCATGCCCTTATGTGATTTGCTTCCCTTGAGAGTAGGCTGGACTAATGAATGGAATACAGTAGATTTGATGGGATGTCACTTCCTAGATGAGGTTACAGAAAAACCATTTTTTCCACCTGGAGCACCCTCTCTCACCCTCTTGCTGGCTTACTCAGTTGCTCTGAGTAAAGCCAGCTGCCATGTTCTGAGCTGCCTTATAGAAAGAGCCACAAGGCAAGGGATTGGTGACTAGCAATCAGCCAATGAAGACTTGAAGCCTGTGAACAACTGCATGAGTGAGTTTAGAAGCAGATTCCTCCCATCCATCCACTGCCTAGCCTTCAGATGAACCTCCAGTCTGGGCCAAAAACTTGACTGCAACCTCATAAGAGCTCTTGAGCCAAAGGCACTCAGCTAAGCCTCATCATGTAAATTGTTTAGATAGTAAATATTTATTGCTTCAAGCCGCTAACTTTTGGTAATATGTCATATAGCAATAGATAGCTAATAATGCAAATATGCATCTGTTCTTTAGCAAAAATGATTTAACAGGGAATGAGTTCAAGTGGGAGGATTATGAAAGCGTCACACTTGTAGTTCAGGTCTTTTCCAGCTATGTGTTAAAGAGTGAATGTATAAAAATATTTAAAATAACCATGCAAATGACCCTGTCTACCTTGCACTTGGATACAATTACATCTCTGAGTCTGTGTGTGTGTATGTGCGAGAGAGAGAGAGAGGAAGAGAATGAGAGAGAGAGAGAAAATAAAGTAATAACGTGAAACAATCATTGGATCAAGAGTATTTCCTGTGACAAACACTTGATGTTTCTTTTTCAGCTTTATGCTCATGGTCGGAAGAATACTCCATGATACAGCTGTAAAAGACAGTTCAGATCCAGCTCCCCTCCCCAAGTTGTTGCTGTTCATAATAAAGCTAGTGAAGAAGTGAGCAGAAGCAATTACAGTGTTCAATTACAAACCCCATCTCGCGTCATCAGGACCTATATAATCACAATGGAAGCAAGCAAATAAACATCCATTTAGAGTTTTTGCATATTCATTTTTTCCGTTTCCTTGCTTCATCCAAAACTTTGGATAATGGTTTCTGGCTATCTGATTCTGAGATATGAGGGCCAGAAAGAGAAGACTGACCACCACTTCTTTGCATTTGAACAAAGATGAATCTCATGCTTTTTCTGACTCACTCACAACTTTGCCATTTCACTTTTGCTCAAGTCCCCCCTCTCCCAACCCAACTGTGACTGCTGTCTCATCTCCCTCTTTCCACCATCAAACCTCACTCAGGCACCCATACCATTGGCCATTTAAAAATATCCCCCATTTATTTTTAATTTTATTTTGTTAAATGTTATTTTCACTTATTCAGTATCTTTACCATACTACTTTATTCTCTATTTACACTCCAACATGTATTGATTGCAGTGTAGTAGGAAACATAATCCCTGTAAGATTTTGTCTTGTACTGTTACAGATATGTACCTACTAATATGTTATATGTTAAATCATTAGGAAATTGACATTTTGAGTGCTTGATACTATACTAAAATCCTGGTGGATTTAGATATCTAAAAGGATATTAGTGATATTTGGTGAAATTTGTCAGGGTTATTTGAATAATCTGGTAACTTGATATTTTCTCGATGTGTAAAAATAGAATATAGGCTCCAGTTATCTAAAAAGATACTTTCCATCATATTTTAAAAAACACATTAGATTCTGACAATGAAGAACTTCTGTATTTTCCTATGTGTTATTAAGTCTCACTTTTTCACTTAATATTTTTCTGGCAAAATTTTCCCTTTCCCCTCCATCACCTCTCTCCCTCCTGCTTCTTTTAATTCGGTCAAGTTTGCATCGTGTGTTCTGGCTGGTGGGCATTTGATTTTCAGTGTTAATTCTTCTTCTTCTTTTTTTTTTTTTTTGAGGAATATTGGCCCTGAGCTAACATCCGTGCCCATCTTCCTCTATTTTATATGTGGGATGACTGCCACAGCATGGCTTGTTAAGCAGTGCTGGGTCCGTGCCTGAGATCCAGACCGGTTAACCCTGAGCCACCGAAGCAGAGTGTGCGATCTTAACGGCTATGCCACTAGCCTGCCACTCAGTGTTAATTTTAAATTAATTATTTTCCTCGATTCTGTCTGTATATTAGTTACCAAATGCTGCATAACCAAATGACCCCAAAACATAGTGGCTTAAAATTTTTATTATCTTAGAGTTTCTGTAGGCCAGGAATCCTCGTGCACTGGGTCTCTCACAGACAGCAGTCATCTCAAGGCTTGACCCTGAATGATCGGATTCTTAACTCACTCACGTGGTTGTTGCCAGGATTCAGTTCCTCAGGGGCTATTAGACACGCTCAGCTCCTTACCACATGAGCCTCTCAATAGAGCATCTCACAACATGGCAACTGGCTTTGTAAGAGCAACATGCAGAAGAGCAAGAGAGAGAATGTGTGAGCAAAATGGAAGTCACAGTCTTCTAAACCCTAATCACAGGTTCGTGATATCCCAGGCTTGTTGCCAGATTCTATTCATTAGAAGCAAGCCAGTAGGTTCACCCCTGACTCAAGGGGAGAGGATTACACAGAGCAAGAATACTAGGGGCTGTCTCAGAAACTGCCACACTATGTGTTGTGTAGATTTTCTGTGGATATTTTCCCTTGTTAAAAAATATCATTATCAGAGGCCAGCCTCACGGCTGAGTGGTTAACTTAGCGCACTCCGCTTCAGTAGCCCGTGGTTTCACCAGTTCAGATCCTGGGCGCGGACCTAGCACCACTCATCAGGCCATGCTGAGGTGGTGCCCCACATAGCACAACCAGAAGGACCTACAACTAGAATATACAACTATGTACCATGGGGCTTTGAGGAGAAGAAGCAGAAGGAGAAGAAGAAGAAGAAAAAAGATATGCAACACATGTTAGCTCAGATCCCAATCTTAAAATAATATATATATATCATTATCAACTACTGAAAAATTCTTCACATTTTAACTTTTACTCTATTATTTATTTTTGTTCTCTTCTTTTGACTAATTTTGTTTACAAAATTGTTGTTTTAGATCCTCTATAGTCTTAATGTATTTTTCACCCGCTTGGTCTATCATTGTGAATGATGAAATATGTGTGCCTCACTCTTTGTCCATTTATCCATTAGGTAACTAGACTTGTATGTCTTACAGGTTTATAGGATGATACAGTGGTAGTAACAGCAGCAGCAACAGGAGAAGCAATCATAGTAGCAGTGTTTATAGCAGTTATATCAGCTAGGATCTAGTGAATTAGAATAGACTGCTATTTTGAACAAAGGGGATTTAAATCAGGATGTGTTACATAGGTATTGAAGGACTCAAAGGAAATACTGAGGTAACCCAGAGATTACTGCAGGGAGCAGATCCCAATCCTCAATGGGACAACAAAATGGAAGAAACTAGGGGCCTGGGGGTAGGGGGCACCTGTGGTTCTCAGGCCTGTGAGGAGGTGGCATGCTGCCTAGCTGTGGTAGTCTCCTCTGGAGCTGAGGAGAGACCTTTCAGAGTCGGTCCTCAGACTTACGAAAAAGGGGCATCAACTAATTGCTGCTGGTATCTGTTTGAAGACATGGTGAGATTGGCTCTAGAGTACCATGAGAAGGTGGACACTGGACCCTACTGTTGCTTCTGGATGCCAGCTGTCATTGCTGTGACAATGATGACAGGAACAAAAATGAGGAAAGAAATCCCTTCCCGTCTCCTCCGAACTCTGAATTCCCCTCTAGTGCCTATCTAGCGCCAACTGGCAAAGGAGTCTGGGAAATGTAATTTGCGCAGCCCCAGTCCCAGCATCATGAGGAGCATGGTATAGAAGTGGGAAATTGGAACAAAGTAACAATGGGAAGAGTGATGCCACAGTGAGAACAAGGTGTGGCCTGTTGAATAGTCTGAATTTTTTTGGACATGCAGATGTTTTAAGTGATTATGTTATAAACTCATTTGTAATTTCTTTGATAGATTTAAAGCAATCTAGGGAAACAATGTTCTGTGGCAAAATACAAAGATAAGTATGGAATTGGGAATGAATTACGTGAGGTTCGTTTGGACAATCAGATTTGATACTTATTGGTCCAGAGTTTGTTAGGCACTGAAAAAGATGGAGAAGCAAAAACAAGAGAGAAACAATATGTAAGAATAAAAAATGTTAACAATTAGGCTGGTGTGTCCAAGAATTACTTTCATATGCTGCATGTCCATTAATGAAAGGCACAAAATTCTGAAGAATGGATATCAGAGTGGGTGGATACCTCACGCCTATTTAGAGGTGAGACTTGGGCCTTCCTAAGAAGGCTGACATGCTCTTGAGGCAAGACATTAATCCCCTTCTGTTCTGCTGGTTCTTGTTGCGTCAAAGCGTGTAGCAGAGTTTTTCAGCCTCAGCACTATTGATATTTTGGGCCAGATATTTCTTTGTCTTGAAGGTCGTTCCTGTCCATTGTAGGATGTTTAGTAGTATCCCTGCTCTACCCGTTAGATGCCAGTAGCATCTTTCTGGTTGTCACAACCAAAAGTGTCTCCAGACAATGCCAATTATGTGCTGGGAGCAAAAGTGCCTCCAACTGAGGCTCTGGTTTACAGCATCTAAATCCTCATGTAAAGTTTGCTTTCTTTCTAGCCATGTGGACCAATATTTAGGGCTTAGTTTTGACGCTAAGTCACTTGCAGCTGACTTTGCATGAACTCAGGAAAGGGTTTGGGTTATATGAATGAGTCAGGAGCAGAACCAGACAGGATTCTTTTCTGTCACCCAATATCAGTGCACGTTGTTTTATACTTTGGACGACGACAGAGAGTGATGTAGGTTTTTCTGCATGAGTGGACCTCCTCCAGTTTTTTATCTGTCCCTGTAGTTGTGCCAGGCCTCAAAGGTACGGGATAGTTATGGACGTGGAAGGTGTGGTGACTCTAGAAGGCCATGTTCTGAGTGGAGAGATACAGCAATTCTCATAATTGAATTATTGTTTTTTTTTTCAATTTCACAAAGAAGGTAATAAAATTTTTATTGGGCCTGTTTCTTTTTTTTTCATTTATTTGTTTATTTTTGGTTGTACATAATATATTTTGAATTCTATGTAGATTACATCATGTTCACCACCCAAAAACTAATTATAGTGCATCCCCTCACATGTGAGCTTAATCACCACTTTTGCTCTCCCCTCTCCCCGCTTCCCCTAAGGTAACCACCAATCCAATCTCCAATGCTATGTGTTTGTTTGTCGTTGTTTTTATCTTCTACTTATGAGTGAGATCATATGGTATTTGACTTTCTCTCTCTGACTTATTTCACTCCACGTAATACCCTCGAGGTCCATCCATGTTGTCACAAGTGGCCGGATTTCATCATTTCTTATGGCTATGGAAAGCAGTATGGAGTACCCTCAGAAAATTAAGGATAGATCTACCATATGATCCAGCTATCCCACTGCTGGGTATTTATCCAAAGAACTTGAAAACATAAAGGCGTAAAGATACTTGCACCCCTATGTTCATTGCAGCATTATGCACAATAGCCAAGACTTGGAAGCAACCTAAGTGCCCATCAAGGGACGAATGGATAAAGAATATGTGGCATTTATACATGATGGACTACTACTCATAATTGAATTCTATTATGACATTCAAACTTGATGAAAAGAGGATACAAGTTATTAGAAGTCAGATAAAGGGGACAGCAAAAGCTTCTCAGGAATGGAGTTGATATTTGTTTCATTTTATTTTATTTAAAGTCAGATTTATTGAGATATGACATGCAGAGTAAAATTTTACTCATTAAAATTCAGTGTACATTCCTATGAGTTTTGAAAAATGCACATAGTTGTATAATCAACACCGCAATCAATACGTAGAACAGCTATTTTACTTCCAAAATTCTCCTCACTTCCTTTTGTAGTCAGCTTCTCTTAGTTCCTGACAGCCACATTTCCTTCTGTC